TATATATATACACAGTAATGTCATCAGTAGTCTAATGTTAGTTTTATTACTATTCACATGTTTATAGGATGGGATGAGGCAACACTATGAGCTGGGCCAGTTTCTAAGGAAGCGATACAACGGATTTCTCAACAAATCCTATGACAGACATGAGGTACGAGACGGATGCTCCTCTTCTTCATAGCAGTACCTCTACGCACAGACAGTGATTCATTAACATTTAAGAGAAGGGGCTTCTTGCCATGTTGGTGCTAGAATTCCCAGAACATGGTGAAAGTTTGAGAGATGTTATAGGAGGAAGGCCTCAGTACCAGTGAATTATCCAGTGCTTTGATCCAAGTCTGTCTTTAGCTATTTTCTTCAAACTGTTTAGTGTAATTCCATATTTAATATTTGATGTGTCACTGGCAACTCCTTTGTCCTCAGATCTTGGTTCGCAGTACAGACTATGATCGCACCCTGATGAGCGCTGAGGCCAACCTGGCAGGTCTGACCATAAGCTACCTCCATCTCCAACTTCTCTTTTGTCAAGCAGCACTACTTTCTGGTATTCTTCATCATCCTCACCTTAGTGGTCTGTCACTGTCCTCTAGGTCTGTACCCCCCCAGCGATCAGCAGATCTTCACAAAGGGCGTGAAGTGGCAGCCAATACCTGTACACACCGTGCCGCAAAGTGAAGATAGGGTATGTATATAAAATCAATGGTTTTATTAGTGCTTCTTGTTAAAAAGGATTCACTGAACTTTGTGTCTTTTTTAGCTTCTCTTATTTCCTCTAGGAGACTGTCCTCGCTACGCACAGCTGTTGAATGAAACAAAGCACACAGAGGAGTTTATTAATGTCACCATTGCAAATCAGGTACTTTTCCTTTATTGACACATATTGTTCCAAGATCAGGGTTGTAGCAGCTATTGAGGGCATGCCTTAATACAACTTTCAGAATAAATAAGTAAAACAAACAGACAATAAATGAAAGTGATTTATAAAATGGTAATATAGATGTAGGATGCACTTAGTGATCCTCTCTTCAGGACCTTATAGAGCTGGTGAGGAATAAATCGGGATGGAATAAGACCACTGTGGAGACAGCCTGGGGCCTGTATGACACACTCTTCTGTGAGGTAAGAACAGGCATGTGCAAAAAAACACACAGCAATGAAAACCAAGTATATATGGATGTTGAAAATAAATGAAAACCAAGTATATATGGATGTTGAGAATAACTTGGCGTGCAAGAGAAAAATTCACATGCTGAATTTCAACAGTGAAGTTAATGTGGCCTAGACCAAACCTCGCTTGTTACAGTCTCGTGACCCAGCTGATCTCACCAGTTTTTGAGGAAAAGGACTGTGCAACTAGAAGCAGTCTGAGTTTCCCCACTGAAATTCACAAAGAATAGTGTGAGGGTTCAATTATGAACTACTATGCAATCAGGGTCAGTCAAGCCAAGGAGTATAGCCACAAAATAATGAAGCAAGAGAGAATGCTGTAAAGAGGTGGAGGCAGACTGCTGACAAAGTGCTAACAAGAACAGAAGGGTACTTTGTCAGCTTCATCACTGTTTCATTAAAGATTTTAGGCCTTTTGTGAAGTCTTTTACATGGTGTTCATCATTTCCCTGCTGTTTGTGGCTGTTCAGTCCCGTCACAACAAGTCTGCTCCTGACTGGGTGACTCCTAATGTGATGAAGAGGCTCCAAGTGCTCAAGGACTTTGGATTTCAGGTAAAAGTGATGAATCATATTTTTGGTGTCTTGTGATTGTCGTGGAATTAAAACAATTTTAATGTAAGGAGACCATTTGATGTCAAATTCTCACAGATCGTATTTGGGGTCTACAAACGACAAGAGAAGAGTCGGCTACAGGGAGGTATGTGTGTGTAGAGCAGGGAAATGTAAAGGGTACTGTAGTTTTTATCAATTGTTTCTTAAAAAGAAAAACATTGTGCTTTCAGTATGTTTGAGACTATTTTCAGCAGCAGATGAATCCACATTTGTTGCTGTCTGTCTTTCAGGTCTCCTTCTGGGTGAAATAGTGAAGAATCTTTCGAGGATGGCCGTCCCAGACCCGAAACAGAGACTGAAAATGATGATGTTGTCAGCGGTGAGCTAGTAACACTATTAACACTAAGAACTGTTTTTTGAATTTATCTCTAGGCAGCTTTTGCTACAGTACCTTTTGGACAAAGCTAGCTGTTTTTCTCCTGCTTGCAGTCCTTCTGCTTAGCTAAACTACCTGTCGCCTGGCTGTAACTTCATATTTAGCGCACAGACGTCAGTCTTTCATCTTTTCATCAGTACATTTCTTTAATGTGTTTGTCCCCTTCACAGCACGACAGCACTGTAACTGCTCTTCAGGCCAGTTTGGATGTGTTTAACGGAAGACAGCCACCTTACGCCTCCTGTCACATATTTGAGCTTTACAGAGATGCCAACAGGTAAAACGCATACCAGCATAGTAAACTGACACAAGCATAATATTGACACTCACACTCCATGTACTATTGAGGAGTTAATAGAAGCACTAGCACTACTATTTGTGATAGAGGACATACAATATTAACATTTTGCCAAACATTGATCTTGTTCCTCTCTGTGCCTGCAGCTCTGCTTCGGTGTTGATGTTTTACCGGAACGACAGCTCAGTGGATCCGTACCCTCTGCAGTTACCAGGTTGCACCCTTGACTGCCCCCTAGAAGAGTTTGTGAAAATTACCAAGCTTTCGATTTCAGACGACAGGGACAAAGAGTGCCAAATTCCTTCACAGGGGAAAGATAAAGGTTAACACACAACTCAGTTAAATAATGCAGACTATTAAAATAAAAGAAAAATTATAGATGGCTCCACCTTTGCTTCATTTTCTCCATTCACTTGTCTTCTGTCTTCAGGAGTGATCATTGGTCTGGTGGTATCCAGCTGCCTGCTCTTCCTCTTCATCTCGCTTCTCCTTGGCATTCTCTGTTGGCAGAAGGAGCCACACACCAACCAGGGATATCACCATGTGATCAACCAAGAAGCTGGAGAGGAATCCTGACAGAAGCGCAGACTTCTTCCTCAGAGATCTACAGGCCTCACCTCTTGGGTTGGCAGCGATGACGATGAACTCTAAATTAACTGTGGTTCGGGACCAGAATTATTTTTTTTCCCACAGGGAATTTCCAAAATGACCCAGTTTATAGGTTGAAAGGGAAGAACTTAAACATTTTATATTGATATTTTAGAGAGGACCATATTTTAGACTGTGAACTCTGATCTCTAACATTGGCAAGTAAGGTAGTTGTTTAAAAATACAATCTGACCAGATTTCTGCTTAGAAAGATTGAACGATTGTTTTTTTTTTTTTTTATGTGAGTTTAGAAAAGTTCAAAAAGTTAGTCCAGGAAATTTTAACTAGTGTAATAGTCTGGAAATGTGAGGGGAAAACCGTGAGTTCTTGGTACTGTCAATGCCTTTAATTATGGGGTGTTTTGGTGAACTTTTTTTCTGATGTAATGAATGACACATTCTCTATGATTACAGATATTTTTTTTTTTTGAAATTGTTCAGGTGTGTTTGATTTCTCTGAGGCACAAAAAAGGTGCTGACATGGTGATAGCAGGCATCCACTACCAAGTGTCCTTTAGCAAGACACCAGCTCAGTGGTAGTTTAGCTGAACCTGACCTGTGACCAAACCAAGCACAATACTGTAAATCAGTCTTGCAGTCATAAGAATTTTCAGTTTTATTCAGCTTCCGTTTAAACAGATGATTTTGAAGATGTTTGGTTGTTTTTTTTTTTTTTTTAGTGCAAGCCTTTATGTTTGTGCATTTTTAGTCAAGTCAGCTTTGAATTATTAAAAAAATAAAAACCTGGTTTTTCACTATGAACCAAACATCTTTTAAAATGAATGATTTTTCCTTAAGTGATATCATGAAACTATAAATTGTATCTAAAACTTTCAGCTCAAGCAGTGGTAGACTAAGTTTTTTAGTTTTATACATCAGGAGATGGTTTCTTTTGTTTGCATTGGCCGTTTGATTACTGAAGAGAAATATTTAATATATTACAGATATGTATAATCTATGACGGGGATATTGGTTCTTAGGATTCTAGACTGTAAATTAATTTGCACATTCTTGAAATCAGTTAATTTTGTCACATCAAACCTGGAAAACAATTTTTTGAAGAAATCAAACTGTCACAATTGCAATTATGAACACAATTACCATTATTATAATTATGTGGCTCAACTTTACATTGTCATTATGGTGTTCATTTTATATGAAATTGCTGATCAGACTTTGAGAATGTGTTAATGTTAATTTGTAAAAATAAATTGTATAAACACAGACTCACTTTGCTTGTGGATTCCTTGGTATAACAGTCTGGAGAATATTTGTCATCTTGGTAGGATGTTGTCAATGCGGAGTGCAGAGCTAATACTGTGGCAGCACTGCAGACAACACTGCTTTACTTGTTTTCACTCTGATACAAAGAGAAAGGTTTAAGTTGTACCTCATACCTGGAGCTACTGTACATTTACAGCTCTATTAATAGCAACTAAACTTTGCCATATTTTACAGTAAGCCAGCCAATTCAACTTAATTCGGACATCATGAAATGATTATACTGGTAAATTCAGCCACGTGACCAACTGTGTATTGGTGGGAAAAGTCAGCACCAGTCAGATCCATAGTAGCAAACACAATAAGAACATTTATTCCTGTGTGAAATTTGCATTTTTTGGTGACTTGATGTTGTATAAAGTATGCACTGATGACACGAATCACATCTGACTCAGTTGTGTTTGGTGCAAAACTGCAAAGTATTGTATATTTTGTGTCATGTTTGAAGTAACACACTGCTAGATGAATACTGGCTCCCTTTGGTCTTTAAAAACAGTGCAGTAGGCCTTTATTTAAACATGGTAGTGCTTTTGTTGCATACATTGTTAGTGATCTGTTGCACAATAGGCTACATTCAGTATGGCCATGACTAAAACAACCCATAACATAAAACAATTATAACAGAGCAAATACCGTTTACACAAATATTATCACCTTGGAGAGAAAATATGACACTGGGTTTTTCTGATGCAGAAGCATGCACTGTAGATGTTGAGTTTTCTTTTACAGATTGATCTTCATGACAGATGAAGTCAGGTACAACACCATGGTTTTAAAAACAAAGGGGCAGCACAGATACACAGATTTTGGTCTGAGAACTAGGTCATGTATGAAAAATGTCCCATTAAAGTGACATATTGCTTACAGGTTGTCATGAGATTCAGAAAACATGTAATAATGAAAAACAATGAAAATAAAAACTATAGAATGTGTTAGAAAGTCTCATCTCACATACTGCTTAGTCCTGAACGCAGTCACGGGGGGGCTGGAGCCAATCCCAGCAGGCATTGGGCGAAAGGCGGGGTGTGTTAGAAAGTAATAATGTACAATAAAAACCAATGTATAAAAAGCATACCAACTCTAAAACCAAAAATCTAAGATCACACACATACTTAATATCATTAACACACATAGATCCGTAATCGATTAACTTGGAAACACAATTAAAAACATACACCATCCGACCATCTCTTGTGCAAAAATATTTTCCTTGAGGAATGAAACTATTAGATATGACAGCATGATGGCACACTGATATTTCCTTTCTCAAAGGATAAATAGTAACATAAAGAATACAGACAGGTTGGTTAGTGAGATCCCACATTCAGACACAAACACCTTTCTCTCTGAAGGCAAATTCCTAAGTGCAAATTGTTGCCTCACAGCTCACAAAGAATCAGATTACATTTTTGGTCTTAGATGTGTCACAGAGACTCTTCCACCCTGTTAATAAACAACATTAACAGGGTTCTGAATGTAAGTTACTTAATGTAATGTGTTTTATCCCTAATATCCAGCAACTTGTAGCCATAATATGACAAAACCTGGTCACTCCAGTTGTACGGTTTCACTAGTTTCCATAACTGTGGATAAGGAAGTCTGGATTTGGCTGCTGTTAAATATTTTTATCCAACAGCACTGACATGTTTGATCAAGCTTGTGATATTCAAATTAACACCCATTAATACCACAGATATACAAATTAAACATATATTTTGGGGCTGTAGGAAGTTTACATGGATAATATTTGTGAAAACTGAAATATTACAGTAAGTTATGAAAATTACAAAAAGCTTATTTTACATCTCAAATTACAGAGGGATCCATGGGTTAAGTGGAACTGAGCAGTCTTAAACTTGCTAACAGCATTTGTAAAACTTTCTATGTGTGGCACCAAATTAACCATCAGTGTGAAAACAAAATTTGTCACAGTCTGTGATGAATCAAAGTTTCATTAGCTTTTCGTATTTTGGTTTTGTTGGGCCTCTGGGAATTTTCTTGGTTAAAAGTTTTTCAAGCTGTTATTTGCCATTTGCTGTTGGAGCTGGACATAAGCTAGCTCCAACAGCAAAAAGCTAATTACTGTTCTAATGTATTCAGAGCTAAAAGTGAGAAACACAATGAAATGCCTTTTCTAAATGCATATCATTTGGTTTTCATAATCAGAATACACTTTTTGAAGCTCAAACTAGTAGCCTAGCATCCTTTACTGTTGTTTTCCAGCCTAAATTGCCCTTTTAAAATACAAATAAAATCATACATATTCCCAATAAAATCAGTCACACAACCTAGGGTTGACAACCCAAATAGCAGTTTGACAAAGGTTGAGTGAATCTTGACTGATAGACCATTGCAGCTTCAGCAAATTAGCTTGATAAGCTTGCTACATGGATCTCGGCTGTGCAGAAATATACCTTCCACAGAAGTGCAACTGAATCAAACTTACAAGAAAAGAAAAAAAAGGATGATGAGAGTGATGATTGTCTGGTCTCTGATGATTCTGGTCTGAAATGATAATATGACCAAAACATTTAACAGAAGAAGTTTGGTCTTTGTTGTTTTCAGTGTATTAGCCATATTAATGCTAAAAATCTGGTCCATAGCCTGCGCTTCCTGTCACTCATGTCCATACATGCCATTGCTGATTCGACCACATTTCTCCAGAATAAGTTTGGTGAACCTTCATACTTGGTCCTCAGTAATATTTCAGGTTATTACTCAAAAGGAGCTGCTTTGATGTAGTTGGAGAAGCAAAATGGTGACACAAACACAGGCAGTTGTTAGATATTATTCTTCTTCAATCTGGACAATGTACCCTTAATTCTGTGGGGTGCAAAAGTATGTTTGTGACCCACAGTAATAATTTTGTGATGTGGAATAGTAATTACTGTGATGATGGTGGTTCTGTGGGGTGGAGTAGTAGTTGTGGTGGTGACTCTGGGTGGTTCCATAGGCTAAAAGGAGGGGGGCTGTGGAAGATGGTGGTTGCTGGGTGGAGGCAACACCCGCTGTCAGGGTCCCGCTACGCTGGATTGAGCCATACCAACTAGATGAACCCAGCTGGGGAGTAGTGGAGAGGAGACTGAGAGATGAGAGGGATTGAGGAGAGGAGGGAGAGGATAAGAAAAAGAGACAGAGATAAGTCGACGTATTGATTTTTCAATACAAAGCTTACAACACAATGCTAAGCTTAATTGATTTGCGGCTGATACTTTAACTGAAAAACAGACACTGAGAGAATGTATGTGCATGTGTGTGCCCACCTGGCCCGATCAGTCCTATTGTTAATACTTCTGGAAAGGTCGTCATCACTGTCGTACCGTCGAGGGTTGTCAAAGAAATAAGCTCTGGAGCTGAAACTGTGGCTGTTGATCATCCCTCCTGGAGCCTGAGAGATAGAGAAATATTCAATTCTCATCATGGTTTACAGCATTTGAGAAAGTTCAAAGCTCTAACAGACAAATTAGTGATTATCATTATTTTTTGTTGGGTTTTACTTATAATACTGTGAGGTCTAGACCTGATTATGTAAAGTGCCCCAAGACAATTGTTGTTGTGAATCAGTGCTATACAAAGAAATTGAACTGAATTTTACCAGATTTTGGTTGGGTCTCTGGACTCTGAAGAAAACCACCACTAAGCTGGTAGGTAGCAGCTCCCAGAAGAACAGAATGATCCCAAACACAATGTAGGCTTCACCACTGATCTCTTGCACATCAGCCTATAACACAAAAACACTCTGTACATTTGAATTCATTCCATCAATTATGAACACACATAACATCTGAGAGACAGAATAGTGTTGAGATGTTAGGCTGACAGCTAGTATACAGTCAGATTAAAGGAATAATCTGCAATATGAGATTATGCCCCCACATACAGACAGCAAATATGCTGTGTGTATTCATGCCCAACACATACACACAAACACACAGACAGGAACCCTTTCAAATGGGCTGTCCATCTCCTGTGAGGATGCAGGTCAGGACACACATACACACACAGACACACACACACACACACACGAGGCTGGCGGCTATATAAAAGCTCAGTTTCCAACTGAAACTGAACACACCTGGTATATTACCTGATCAGAAACACTGTACCAGCCATAGTTGAAAGGACTCAGTCTGTCCTGTGAGGACAGGGCCACCACTACCAGGTTGTAACAGGCTCTGGATGTGTAGAGAAGAATCACCACAGCTCCTACGGCTGTTGCTTGGCATACTGATGTACCCTGGTGAGGAAGAGATTGGCTTACACTGATTTATCAGTTGGCTGTTGGTTTGTAAGTTAAAGGCCAATATTTATGGAGATAAAATCCTATCAAAAATGTTACAAATGTGTGTTTAATGTTTTGTCTGTAACAAGCGATTTGTGTGTGTGTGTGTGTCATGAGGATCACAAATGTGTGCCGCGCAATCTGCACGTATAAAGCCATTTGTGTGTGTGTGTCATGCTGTTCACAAATGCATGCTGTACAAACTGCACATAAAACACATTTTACAAATGCTTAAAATCGATTTTTTGTGTGCAGTTCTTTAGAAAGTACGTACACATTGTTACCTACGCATGCGTGGATCGTCTAACACACACGAATCACCTTCCGCGCACACACGGATTTTTGAGAGTGTTTTTCCGCACTCTCAAAAGTCCACGATCCACGAATGCACGGTGCGTTTAAGGACACGTGGAAAACTCGGACATCTGAGTTTCCCAAACAAAAGTATTTACACAACGCTATTCCAAATGGACATTACATAAAATAAACAAAAATATTTAATACATAACACGTTTTAACAGAGAACATTCCAGTTGCCTGCAGTTTGTGGTGCATGTTCTAAATTTTTATATATTTAGAATTTAGAAGTTATGAAGCTAAAGTTAATATTCCGCCCTGCGGAGTTTATAGTTTTTCCAGTAGGGCATATTTTAGTGATGCACATATTCCTCCCGACGGAGTTTGTTGTTGTTTTTCAGTGGGACATGTTTTAGTGATACACACCGCTAGTAAGTTTAGCATGAAAACAGTCACAGGTTGTCTCTCCTTCGAATCTA